ATTAATGCACAAATTAGATGTATTACATAAATGCCTGATATGCAGTTTATGCAGCTTGGCTCGAAGAAATAGAGATGAACTCACGGAGTCACGTAAGATAATCCGTCAAGTCCTGTCCCAATAAAGACATATCTTTGTGTGAATTAAATAATATGCAGCCATGAATGGGTGCATGTTGGGAATAAAAGTGCTGAATTTAATTCGCTCTCTGTTTTCTATATGCTCATCGTCTCATGAAGTCGGAGTCACGAGAATATTATTCAGTGAATTTAATTTTCAACACTTTTTTTTTTTAAGATGACTGAAAGGAGGAAAAACCAAAGTGAAGCATGTACTTACTTCACTCAGTCATTTATTTACTTTATAACAGTAAATAAATATCGGTTCTGCATATCGGTTATCGGGCACATAAACATGCCAATAATTGGTATCGGTATCGGTTATAAAATATCAATATCGGTTGATCACTAGTTTAAAGTATCCATTATAATAGTATTTTAACTAAAACTAAAAACGAAAACATTTTCATTACTCAAAATTAAACAAATGTTAACCGAAATAAAATAAAATATAAACATTTTATTTTATTTTTAATTGTTTTTATTGCTGCTAGCCAACATTTCCCATTTTTGTTTAGTTTAAGTTGAAGTATTCAAATAACTAAAACTGAAAACTAAAAACAAACTAAAAAACCTTATAAAAATGACAAGAACACAACAAAAAAATGTAAACTTTAATTTAATTTAAATTTAATTTAAACTAACACCAAAACAGAAAATATGAAAATAAAATGTATTAAAAATACTAACAAAAATATATAATAGTATATCAATGGTACTAAAATATCACTGGATAGGACTGAATTACAGTCATGAGAATGACTTTGCATTACAGTAATGAGAACTTAATGGGAAAATAATGATTATTATTTATTTTTATTTCTATAAAATCTTTTTTTTTTTATCTAATTTTCTCAAAATAAAATCTATAAAAAATAATTATTAGGCTTTATTATATAATTTTTATTTAGATTTTTATTATTATTTTTATTTCGATTTTTATTACATTTTCTGGGTCATATTTTTATGACCCAGAAATGTCTTGGAGATTCACTCAATCACTTTCATAGCCCTCTTGATTGACTTCATATTAATGTAGTGTGGTCTCGCGTTCACAGCTGATCGATCGTGCCGTTAAAGTCTTGGATCAGATGCCTCCGTATGACACTCATAAGATCGGCGTGGTGTTTGTTGGAGCCGGTCAGGTAGAGTCATGCTTCTCTTTCAATGCTGCTGTTTCAGATGTTGTAGGAAGTCTGTATGATTGACGGTTGTTTATTATCAGGCTAATAACGAGGTGTCGATCCTGTCCAACGAGTACGGCTCCAACCGCTACGCTCAGTTCCTCACGGGCCTGGGAAAGCTCATCCATCTGAAGGACTGCGACCCAGACCAGATCTTCCTGGGTGGACTGGATCAGTACGGAGACGACGGAGAGTTCACCTACTGCTGGCACGATGACATCATGCAAGGTCAGGGTTTATTAGTAGCAGTAGACATATTGAGATATAGTAAAAAAGAATTATTGTTACTCATCACAATAACAATTGATATTATTTTTGTAAATAATATTTAGATTGTATATATGATATTATTATTAAAAAAAAAAATAAATTTCTTAATAATATTAATAATAATAATAACAGTAGTAATAATAATGTTTTATTTTTTTTTAATGTAATTTTGTTTTATTAAATGTTGTCAAAGAATCAGAAAGAACAATACTAACACCGAGCAATTATCTTCCTACCCCAACATATACAAAAAAGTAAAATAATATAAAATAAAATAAAATAAATCTAAAAATAAAACAAATAAATCAATAATTATATATAAGAACAGATAAATGATAACTATACATACACACAGAACAAATACATATATAATACAAATTATTATTTAATATCCTTTCTCACTACTGACAATAATAGTTATCATTGTTATTTTTATTATTATTATTATTAATATTAAGTACTAGCAAACCTTTCAAAAGATCTTAAGTACAGTGAATATACTATGTTTAGTCAGTGTTTCTTGAGTCAGACTTTGTGTAACATTAATAAAAATATAGAATAATAATAGAATATTTATATATTTTTAGAATATTTTGATTTTTTTTTACTACTGCTACTACTGTTATTTTTATCATTACGTTTTATTTTCACAATAATAGTAGTAATAATAATAATAATAACAATAACACTATTATTATTATTATTATTAATGTCATAAGTAGCGTTAGTAGTAATATTAACTCTAATTATTATGTATTGCTAATACTACTACTACTAATAGCTGTTGTTGTTTTTATTATTATTATTATTTACTACTAATAACGATTTTTTTTTTTTTTTAATTAAGAAGTTCCTAGAAAAACCCTACCACTTCGAAAAGTAAAAGCGATCCTGTGAGGATCTCAAGTATGGAAAATATAATTTATTTAGCCACTTAAGTCAGCATTGGCTTTAAGTGTTTGAGCAATGTGATCCATTATTATGTGATGCTCATTACTGCGTCCGAAGACTCTTAAGTGTTCATAAAGAGCGTTCGGAGGACGCAGCATCTGACTAATGCAGTCGTTTTGCTCCTCGGCAGCAATTTTCCATATAGCCACTCTGATGCCGAACCGCGAGAGCGACAAGGGCTGCTGCAATAAGAAACGCCACATTGGGAACGACTTTGTGGTGGTGGTTTACAATGACTCCGGAGAGGAGTACAAACTCGGCACCATCAAGGTGTGTGAGAGAGTCCGTTTCCATTTCATTGCTGCTTTTGACACATTCTTTCCGAACCGTTTTTAAAATGTGATTTTTTTTGTGTTTATGTTCATGCATTTAGGGTCAGTTCAACTTCGTGGAGGTGCTTATAAAACCTCTCAACTACGAGAGCAACCTGGTCACACTGCAGTGCCGGAAAGGTGAAAAGAGCCGCTTTCATTCAGATTTGTGTGTTGTATTGAAGGAGTGTGTGCTGGGTAATGCTGTAACTCCTCGTTCTCTCTCAGATCTGGAGGGTTTGGTCGACACCAGTGTGGCAAAGATCGTTTCTGACCGCAATCTACCGCTGCTCGTGAGACAGATGGCTCTGCACGCCAATGTGAGACTCAGCAGCTTCATTTGTCTCAGTGCTTTTTGTCTTTTGTCTCTTTTTTTTTCATATGGAAGCTTATTTTTACCACAGAATAAAAAAAAGTTTCCCAGAATTACAAGTTCATATGATTCAGATTTTTTTTCATTGAATTCGGAGTTTACATTTCATAATTCTGTTTTTTTTTCTTTGGAATTCTGAGTTTACATCTCAGAATTCTGCCTTTTTTTAAATTCTGAGTTTACATCTTGCAATTCTGTCTTTTTTACAGAATTCTGAGTTTACATCTCACAGTTCTGTCTTTTTTTACAGAATTCTGAGTTTACATCTTGCAGTTCTGTCTTTTTTTTGGAATTCTGAGTTTACATCTCACAGTTCTGTCTTTTTTTTGGAATTCTGAGTTTACATCTCCCAATTCTGTCTTTTTTTTACGGAATTCTGAGTTTACATCTCACAGTTCTGTCTTTTTTTACAGAATTCTGAGTTTACATCTCCCAATTCTGTCTTTTTTTACGAAATTCTGAGTTTACATCTTGCAGTTCTGTCTTTTTTTTACAGAATTCTGAGTTTACATCTCACAGTTCTGTATTTTTTTACAGAATTCTGAGTTTACATCTCGCAATTCTGTCTTTTTTTATGGAATTCTGAGTTTACATCTCGCAAGTCTGTCTTTTTTTACGGAATTCTGAGCTTACATCTTGCAATTCTGTCTTTTTTTTGGAATTCTGAGTTTACAGCTCGCAATTCTGTCTTTTTTACGGAATTCTGAGTTTACATCTTGCAATTCTGTCTTTTTTTACAGAATTCTGAGTTTGCATCACATTGTCTCTTTTTCTTAAAAATCTGTTTACATCTCACAAGTCTGACTTTTTTATCTGAATTCTGAGATTACATCTCACAATTGTGCTTTTGTTTCCGCAACAAAATAAACATTTTAAAGAAATTGTGATAGAAATTGAGAGAAAAAGTTGCAGTTACCTTTTTAATTTTTATTTCAAGGTAAAAACAAGCTTCCATAGTTTGTTCTGTTTGATCTCTGCACCTTTGTGTTTTTTGTTTTTCCTTTGCAAAAAAAAAAACTTTCTGTCTGACAACATAGTATGCGATTCATTCACTTCACATTGAGAAAATGATTTAAAATGCTTGAACAAGAAACTCCTCTCATTTTTACATTTTTTTAATACTTAAGTACAATTTAAAGTTGTTCTTTTTTACTTTCACTCAAATATGTTTTTGGCTAGATACTTGGACTTTTAATTGACCAAATAGTATAATTATTTTAGTACTTTTAACATCCCTGATTTTGGGTAGTTGGAGTGTCTTTTAATGTATTTTATGTAAAGGTATTTTTTGTCTGTTTTCCTGCAAATCATATGTTATAATCTATTGTCATTTATGTGGAAATGATGCAAAACGAGTGCGATATTTTCCTTAACAAAAAGCACAAATAAAGTGCTGTAAAACAGAAAAGCGTTTGTGGCATACAGATCTCAGCGCCCGTTGCTCTCACCACGCAGTCTGTTTAGCATAAATCTTTTTTTTTTTTTCAGGAGTAGTTCTCTTCCCACCTACTGTGATAAGTGGAGACTATGTAATAAGGCTGTTTAGTGTGAGTCACACACCCACGCTTTCTTCTGAGACCCTCCAAATCACTGCAGGCTCCAATTAGCAATACATGCCACAAAATGGCCGGCAGGTCAGGGGAGGATAAACGCAGAACTCAGGTTTCACCCGGGACACTGACTATTTTGGGGTGGATTATATTAACTTCTTGTTTCCATGGTTACCAGGGAACTTTAGGAGACAGAAAGTACTTTAGTTTTGTGAATTTATTTTCAATCTTGGCACCATGTTGCTATCCCAGATCAAAGTGTATTCCAGTGTATGGCACTCAGCTTTCACAGACCAATCAACAACCGACAGATAAATCATCTTGCTTGAAAATATATCACAATCCGGAAGGTGGTCACATATCTCAGTGATATTAGAGAATGAACAATTGCATTTGAACCTTTTAAATGAGTGTTTTATCTGCTGTCTTGTCTTGTAAAGATGGCATCGCTGGTACATCAGTGTAGAGCAAACCCATCAGACGCCTACGCTTCAAAATGGCTAGCAAGATTGAGACACATCAAGAGGATCAGGACACGGGTACGAGAGCTCATATATCTATCTATGTAACTTTTGAATGTGAA